ATCATCGTTTCAAATGATTTTAAATCAACTAATGTACGTATTTCCGCGATTGTTTGAAATAAAGCAATTTTTTTTTGATAAAAATAATTATCGAATTTTTTTTAAATTCCCACAAAAAGTAGATAAAAATCTGTATCATTTTCTATAAGCAAATACATTTGAAGAGTCTGCTGTCATTTCGTAATGAAAGCATTTAAATCTGTTGTTGTGCTTTTACTAAGTCCCACCACGACTGGTCGTAAAAGCAAAAGTAAAAGAGCGTATTTTTAGCTGACACGGGTATCAATCAACACGGTATTCTTTAAATTTTATAAATAATAGTTTTACGGCTTAAATATCGCTTTTATTACTAGCGATCTTTATACGAGATTTAAAAAAAATGGCGTGCTTGCAACTTGGTACACGTGAAAGAAGTGAAACTTCTTTTGCTGTGTGTAGTATTGTGGGTTTCTTTATTTTTTTATCTTTAAATCAAATTTCTCTTGTAATAGGGAGAATGCTGTGTATATGAGAAACGACCTCTTCACCATTTATATATATTTTAAATTATATATAGATTTTTTTTTTAAATCCTTCGTTAAAAATATAATCTATGATAGTTAATATTTACTGCCATCTACAGGAGCAATGAGAAACTAATAACAAGCTATCTAGTGGCCGACGCCCGTAAGCAGAATGTGTATATGAGAAACGAACTAGCTCGCTTTGTCTATTTTCTCACTTACACTCTTTCTAAATTGTATATTTTCTCTCTAGCCGTAACGAATCTGTCGCGAGTTTAATTTTAATCTCAACGCACCTAAAGAAGTTTCACTTCAATTAGTTTTAATTATACCTAGGTAAGTATCGCACTGGACATCGATTGGTGAGGCCTATGTTTAGCAGTGAACAGTGGACAGATTGAGATGAAGTATCGAAGAAAATACTATTTCTTTATTCTTCAAGTATCCGCAAATCTGTTAAAACGCTAATATTTTGTTATAGCGTTCTTCCCATAGCTCTGTTATCTCTTGTGTTATCTGTGCTCTAATCACGCACAAGACAAGAACAACTATCGATAGGGTCACAAACACCAAGTTCTTGATCCTGACCCCTCTGGAAATCAAACGCGGTAAAATGTGATAGAAACTTGCAGTTTAGTGACGAAACAACAGTAATGTTACCCACTTATGTACATTGGCAGTTAAACGGTGGCCTCAGAGCCGCAAGATCAGTGTGTGGCGTGATCTCTGAATGATGCACTCCGATAATCGCACACGTTCACGTGACGATATTCATGCGCGCGATAGCGACTTTTCGACAAATGACATACGCTGTTTCGCAGCGGGAAGAAAATACACTATAGACGTTTATTGTTTTCATTTTATAACGTACAGCTCATCGAGTATGGATTCTCGTTGACGTAACCTGTATCTTGTTTCTATTGAATTCGAAATTATATGTACATCGCGACAGAAACAGGATGGGCGGTGGTACCGACGCATGTAGGGTTCAAGATTCAAAAGACCAATAACAAAACTTTAAAGGTACTAGCTAACAGCACCTATTATTGTTTTGTATGTTAGTACATCGATATAACACAACAATTCAACAGATATGCATGGTTAGAAAAATCGATTCAGCAATGTCACGCCACAGAAATTTCTTGATCGTTGAAATGAGTGTGACGAATTATTCATACATTACTACTTTAACAACAAGTAAATTTATTAAAATCATTTGAATTAATAAAAAATATTTATGTTAATATTGTATCGTAAACACAAACAGCAAGTGGCTGTAAGGAATGTAATAAGAGCTCTAAGACTTTATCTTTAAAATATTAACATTTGCTTCTCTTCAATCTCACATAACCTTAATCACTTTTAGATCACATTATCTAGACAATCAAATTTTTTTTTTTAAACTAAAATGACGTATATACAACTTTGTAAACTTGTACCTACCTATCTTTTTTCGTGAGTTAAAACTCTTTCGGGTCTTGTAATTTAGGTATGATTAAAAAAAAAAAAAAAAAAATTACTGTACTTTTTTTAAAATCTAGATTATAATGATTCGTTAATTCAACAACCAAGATCATGTAACACATTCTTGGATGAGATTTTGCAATTTCCACTTCACAATAAAACAAAATTACATTACCTATGTACTAATAGAAGTACCTGTCTACATACATACATACATACATACACATCAATTTATAGTTTGATTATTGATTTACCTTGGCTTCAATTAGCCGTAAAATATTACTACATTTAAAACATGTTTCTCTTTTAAAATCACGTGCGTTAATTAGGTATTTTTGTTGTTCTGTTATTCTTTAGTATTGACGAAATTAGGTGATTTTTTAGAATGTTTTCTTGTGATACTAACCATTAGTAAAATTTGTATTTAAGGTAATTATAATCACATTTTATGTTAAATTCTATACCAAAGGTTTCTTAAAATTCATAACATAACATTCAGTCAAAAAAGTATCGGGGATGGACGATTTGTTTATGGTTCCAAACATCTTCTTTTTATTATGTATTTTTGGAAAATATTGTTTTCCATTTTCGCGCGGAGTTTGAGTTATGAAACTCATTGGTATTTAGATTCAATACAGTGCTATTTCTAGTTAAATCATATCTAGTGTGTTTTGCGAATTTCATAAAGGAGAAAAACATCGAAAATTTTGTCTTAAATTTTGCATCGCCAGTAGGATTTCGTGTTCGGAGTTAATGAAAATGCTAGAGAAGATTTACGGTGAATCGATTTTATCAAAAACACATGTTTATGAATGGTACAAAGCGTTGAAACGCCGTTGAGATGTGATGAAAGATTTGTCTCGCTTTTGTAGGCCATCAATGTCTGCAACTGAATTAGAGTCGCTGAGGACATGCTAGAGCGAGACAATTCCGACCCAATATTCATAAAACGTATTGTTACTGGTGAAGAGACGTAGGTTTACGAGTTTGACATGCAAACCAGTCAACAAGCTTCCGAGTGGCGCTTTCCAGATGAATCGCAACCGAAAAAACCACACCCAAGACGATCAAAAGTCAAAGACATTTAGACGATTTTCTATGACTATAGCGATTTTTTACTGGTGGTAGGACCTCTTGTGAGTCCGCACGGGTAGGTACCACCACCCTGCCTATATCTGCCGTGAAGCAGTAATGCGTTTCGGTTTGAAGGGTGGGGCAGCCGTTGTAACTTTACTTGAGACCTTAGAACTTATATCTCAAGGTGGGTGCGCATTTACGTTGTAGATGTCCATGGGCTCCACTAACCACTTAACACCAGGTGGGCTGTGAGCTCGTCCACCCATCTAAGCAATAAAAAAAATATATATATTGAAATTGAGGTTATAAAAAGGTTATTTTAACATTGTTTTTTTACTCTTAGGCCGGGGATCTTACATTGAAAATCTTGTTTTTTTCTGGCAGCTTATGTGTGTGAACAGTTAATTTCAACATTTGTCAAGTGGTATCTATAGGCTAAATTCAGGTTGTGATATCTATAGGATTCAGTAACCACTTAAGACCACAGGTAAGACGTAAGATCGTCTAATCATGGAGTGCAAAAAGAAAATGAGTACACTTTTGTATATTTTATTACTCATTCTTTATTTATAGATTAAAACTAATTATAATTCTCGACATCAAGAGTTCCGAAACTTCTTAATGCAAAAATGATTAAAACATAATGTAGTTTTTGTCTTTTTCTTGTTTTCACGTTCTTTAGATATAATTATGAAATACTCTCTTGATTATAATTATCTTGATAACAATTTTAGATATATCATATAATTTATCAACGATTACTGATGGTCAGGGGCTTCGTGGTAGGTACCACGGTGTAAGTACCACCACCCTGCCAATTTTTGCCGTGCAGCAGAAATGCGGTTTGTTTCGAAAGATGGGGCAGACGTTCTACTGAAAACTAAGACTTAGGACTCATGTGTCAAGGTAGGTAGCGACATTTACATTAATATTATTTATGGGCTCCCGTAACCATATAACACTAAGTTTTTTGTGACCTCCTCAAGCTTTATAGGTAATAAAAAAAAAACTAAAATGGTTCACTAATCTGAATTCGATCCCTCCAAATTTATCAGAAACAAATTGACTATTTCCAACAAAAACAGTTTCACCAAAAAAAAGAATACAATCGTTTATTAACAAAGCAGTAAATTGTTAATAAAGCAGAAAATCGTACTTAGCTGTTTTTCTTTGCCATATAGGCAAACCTACCTAATATGGATAAATCGTATCCTATAAATGGTCACATAGAAAACTGTTAAACATTACAACCCAATTATAATTTGAATTAATCAATTTGAAATGCGCCCTATAATGCCAAGAATGGAGAATTCAAAATTTAAATTAATTATGCCTACATTGACGTATTTCGTTTGATCATGTCTATATATTATGTAGTTTTATGACAAAAAAGAAATAAATTTTATTATTGAAATTTAAGTTTTTGTTTCGCAGTCTCGTCCGGGTTCTTCGCCAGTTTTTTCGATATCGAGACAAGACGTTAAGAAAAAACTAACTGAACACCGTTTCAGTTTTTGCTGTCGGATTCTGCGGCCCATATCCCTACATGGATGTATGTAGTAAGTACTACGGCTCTATAAGTAAAAGAGCGAATCCACGGTGTACCACCAATTCTAGTAGTATTACAAGTTTAATGAAATTTCACGAATATTATGCCGAAATTTAAATAACTCCATGAATTATCATTAAAAGGTTTTCAAATAAAATATTCTAAATTATAATAACAGTTAAGTCTTTCAATATTAAATTTATAATTTAAGATGTCAGTTTTTTTTTTTAAATAAATAATATCTATCATTAATTGAAATGCTTAGTTTTTCTGTTATAGGTCACAGATATTTGTGAAAGAATATACTACAGTTATTAAAAGCTTTCCTATAAAAAATAATAAACAAAAACTGTAATTGACATGTAATGTTTACAAAAAAGAAAAAAAGAAAAAACACAAGAACCCACCTGAAACAATGTACTGATTATAATTACTTTAACTGAACACTGAAACACACTGAGCCGTTCGCGAACTGAGTAACGAATAATAAGAAGCGTTCAATTTTGACTGCGATCGTTAACTGACATCGCGAAATTCTCAACGACCTATTATATACACACAAATGGGACTTTGATATGAAGCAAATGAGTAGTGCGGCCGTTTCGTGTCCCTATCGTGTCGTTTACCTAACTACTCTCCACTAACTATCGAACAATATTTATTTTTGATTCGCATTAGGAATAGTTTAGATCAACAACATAACTACTAGAAAATTACTATAATTGCTAATTTGATTTTAGGACAATTCAAGATTTAGTTTAAATTTTTATTTAAAATAATGATAAAGCCTTTTTTTTTTAATAAGCGACGATTGAAAGAAATACATTAAAATACTTTGCATATTTATACGTAGTTATAGTAAAAAAAATTATAATAAAAACGTTTAGCAATAGACATACGCGAAACTGAAGGTCGAATGCTAACTGATAATAACTGACGCGTCCGAAGTCTGGGTAAATATATGAATAAATAATGTATATTCCACCTTTGAGAGCGGCACCTGAAATTATTTCACTGAAGAAATGGAGAGCATGGTGGTACCCGCATTATATATGCATTATACATAGGAGTAGAGAATAATCTATACCCCTATGTATGTATGTATGTATGTATGTATGTATGTATGTATGTATGTAATCCCTAATTAAATTTGTATTTATATAAAAATTTAAGTCCGCGCGGGTAGGTACCACCACCCCGCCTGTTTCTGCCGTGAAGCAATAATGCGTTTCGGTTTGAAGGGTGGGACAGCCGTTGTAACTATACTTGAGACCTTAGAACTTATATCTCAAGGTGGGTGGCGCATTTACATTGTAGAAGTCTATGGGCTCCAGTAACCACTTAACACCAGGTAAGCTGTGAGCTCGTCCACCCATCTAAGCAATAAAAAAAAATACATGGGTGTGTAATTTTTTAAATATTTTTAATTTTTTAAATATATTTATATAACACAGCTCAAGGTATAGCCTCATGTTAATTACATTAAATACATCATAATTATATATTTTGTTTTCATATATAGGATTATAGAGTATCCTATCAATAGTGGAATTTTCATTTTTCCAATACTAGCCCTTACATACAAATGTTAAAATAAATTATTAACGTATTTAATAAATTAGTTACACTATTCCAAGAAATAGGGAAACAAAAATGACTGTTTTCCCCATGGTCAAAGGTTTAGTAAACTATAATTTTGTTATTAGGCACATACAATAAGCAAACTACTTTCTCGTTTACTAATTGCCTCCGAAATGCTATTTTTGAGGAAACGAATAAATATGTTTTGTCCTTGAGTGACAAATCGAATTTACAAACTCTTTCTATGACGACGTTTCAATACGTCATTTGCACGTGAATATCTGTGTGCTTAGTGTGAGATTTTAACGTTCTCAAAAAAGCGTAAAAGTTATTACAAAGTATGCAGTTGTAACAGCGCCCCTATAAAAGTTATATGCGATTTTTTTTTTTTTTTTGTGCTGTGGTGGCTAGACGATCTCACAGCCCACCTGTTGTTATTATAAGTGGTCACTGGAGCCCATAGACGTCTACTACGTAAATGCGCCACCCACCTTGAGATATAAGTTCTAAGGTCTCAAGTATAGTTACAGTTGTATTCTATAAACTGTAGAGTCAGATGTAACAAAAGTATAAGACGCCTGGTGTACGTACTCTTATCGAGCGATGTGCCTATGCTGTCATTCAAATCTCTTCCAATTTTTCTAATAAAATACTTACTTTACATATTATTATATTCCGGAATTACGTCCACGATGTAGGCTCCATCCGTTCATCCTATAATAAGAATATGGGTAATACGGCACTCAATACGGCATTCACGTTGTTTATTAGCCCCGGGAACCACTCAACACCAGGTGGGCCGTGAGCTCGCTCACTCATATAAGCAACTAGCAACCCGCCCTCGCTTCGCTTCGGAAACTGTAATGTATTATTGATTTCTCCACTCTTTAATGGATGTTATTATACATATAAACATTCCTCTTCAATCACTCTATCTATTAAAAAAACGCATCAAAATCCGTGGTGTAGTTTTAAAGATTTAAGCATACATAGGGATATACCACGGGTAGGTACCACCACCCCGCCTTTTTCTGCCGTGAAGTAGTAATGCGTTTCGGTTTGAAGGGTGGGGTAGCCGTTGTAACTATACTGAGACCTTAGAACTTATAATATCTCAAGGTGGGTGGCGCATTTACATTGTAGAAGTCTATGGGCTCCAGTAACCACTTAACACCAGGTGGGCTGTGAGCTCGTCCACCCATCTAAGCAATAAAAAAAGAAAAAAATAATAAAGGGACAGAGAAAGCGACTTTGTTTTATACTATGTAGTGATAAATAAGCAGCATCCTTGTAGCCAATAACCTCTATATGATCTTTCTCGAAAGTGAAACCATACTTTGACGTATCCTACAAATTTCTGACCACTCTCTTTGCCTTGATTTTTGGTATTTGTTAACTTACTGGTTATTGTTGTTGTAACTCCCGGCCCACCAGGCGTTAAGTGGCTACTGGAGACCAAAGACATCTATCTACCTATCTATCATCTTTGGGCCACCTATCTTTAGATTGAATTCTAAAGGCTCAGTATTTAGAGTACAACGGCTGCCCCACCCTTCAAACTGAAAATCAGTACTGCTTCACGGCAATAATAGGCAGGGTGGTGGTCTGGTGGCACCTACCAGTGCGGAATCACACGTCGTGCCACCAGTAATTATACAAATTATAATTTTTGCGGGTTTTATTATTATTTCCCGACTTTATTCCTTCACCGTGGAAGTCAATCGAGAACATTTATTAAGTACGTATTTCATTAGAAAAATTACTACCTGCCTGTGGGATTCGAACACTGGCACATTTGCATCGATACAAATGCACTCAGCGTCTTATCCTTGAGATTGCGATGACTATCGCATGCAACAACTGTTAAACTCCTTATTCGTTGCGTGAAATATACCTAAAAGTCAATGCTAGAAATCACGCAAAATGGACTAGTGTATTCGAAATGATAATCCTTTTAGAAAGATGATAGAAGAGATATGGAGATGAGCAGGGGGTCGTGGTAACACAAATCCATGTCGTTAGTTCAGGAGAAGGAACATGGAGCTTCTAACACCGCGCCGCAGTACAGGCAAAGGACTACATCAGTGCACTGCCGGTATCCAGGCAACAAGCCGGTCACAGCTGAATTATTGCGGTCCAAGACAGAAGAAACTAAAGAGAAAGAAAGGAATCAATCAATCAATAAATAATAAATAAATAAATAAATATTTACTAACAATCACACCACGTTAACTGGTCCCGTGATAAGTTCGTAAAGAACTTGTGTTACAGGTACCAGATAACGGAAATAAATGTAAGATTTTTATTATACACATACATATATTTAAGATACATCCATAACCCTGGAAAAGACATTTATATTTATCATACAAACACCTTCCCTTGGCGGGATTCGAACCCGCGACCCCCTCGTGTAGTGACCATGTCACTTACCACTACACCAGACGGCCGTTAAAGGAATTAAGTAAGTAATAAAGGCCGTGAAGGATTTGAGAGAATGATTTTAAAGTACCGTGAATAGTACGGCAAAAATACAGCTGACGTTTATTTCATTACTATCTGGGCCTGGATTTCATATCGCAATTGGTATCTTTGATTTAGAATTGCGTTTAGTGCAAGACCTTTAATTGTGTTATCACGGACATGATGCGTCATACCGCTAATGATTCCGCTTATTCACTCGGTTTATATTTAGAAATCTAAGGGAAACTGAGATATATTTTACCGTATTTTTGGAGCAGTGGTATAAAGTGCCTTCGATAAAACAAATAACAGATTTGATACGGGGCGTTTTAATTTTCTATGAAAATGGGTATTTCGTGCCTAACAGTAATATGTAAGACAGTTCTTTATTCCCTTTACGGCTTTAGGAACGATCTCAGTCTTCTAATAACCTCTAATTTAATCTAAATATTATAGTAATCACTCAAAACAAATTAAAAATTCAACAATGATAAATTGTGCAATACGTGACGGTTTTCATCTAGTTCCATAATAAATGAATAATGTAATCAGTTCGAGAAAAGCATAATCTGTTTTTTTGACCTTTTTGTAAATTAGTAATGAACGTTTTGTTATGTGTTTATTTCTCGATAACGATGGAATAATGATATGATGGTACATTAACCGTCATGCAATCGAGTCATGTTAAATGGGAGCATGTAGCTTTGCACCCTGACGAATGTTATCTTTTTGCAGTTAAAATTATTTGCCATTAAATATTTATGTAATGTAAGATACTTAAAGTATTGTAGATTCAATACTTTCGTGTAGATTGTGTCTACTGACACATTCTAATTGACAGTGGAATGTTGGAAAAGTTCTCGGTAGGCGATGGCTTTGCTGCATACTAGTATTTTTGACGTCCACAAGCAATGAGATGACAATAGTGACAAGGACACGCAGCCATATTAGGCCTCACGTGCTGATTTCGAAGGTAGCTAAAATCTAGACTCGAAAATGGGCGAGAAAATGTTCTAGGTGTACTTTATCGCCGGCTGGTGGGTTTCTACTTGGAGGACAGATCGGTCATGTGTACCGGACACGGTGGGATCGTGCACCGGTTCCCGGTCGTGCGCGGTGTTCCACAGGGGTCGGTGCTCGGCCCCCTTTTGTGGAATATCGGGTATGACTGGGTGCTGAGAGGTGCCCTCCTCCCGGGTCTGAGCGTAATCTGTTACGCAGACGACACGTTGGTCGTGGCCCGGTGGGGAGTTTTGTTGAGTCTGCCTGTCTTGCTACCGCTGGGGTGGCGCATGTCACCGGCAAAATCAGGAGATTGGGTCTCGACGTGGCGCTCAGTAAATCCGAGGCCATGTGGTTCCACAGGTCCCGGTGAGTGCCACTTGTCGATGCCCATATCGTGGTTGGAGGCGTCCGTATCGGGGTCGGGGTGCAGTTGAAATACCTCGGCCTCATTCTGGACAGTCGTTGGACCTTCCGTGCTCACTTTTAGAACC